TCGGTTAAGTGTCCGACTTCAGCCAGGTCACGATCTCGCGGTCCGTGAGTTCGAGCCCCGCGTCGGGCTCTGGGCTGATGGCTCAGAGCCTGGAGCCTGTTTCCGATTCTGTGTCTCCCTCTCTCTCTCTGCCCCTCCCCCGTTCATGCTCTGTCTCTCTCTGTCCCAAAAATAAATAAAAACGTTGAAAAAAAATTTTTTTTTAAAATAAACGTATTGTTTATAATGTATAGATATATAACATAAATATGGAATGTATAAAACTTTGATTAAGCACATGTAATACATAACACTATATGAGTAACAATTTTCCTCTAAAAACAAGTATGGTAAACTGAATGAATACAGCAATTACAGAAAAAAAGAGTAAAAGAAAATGGACCTAAGAGAAATGCAGCTTGCTCAGGAACAAAACCAGATAATGAAGAAACAGTTAACTTTTAAACATCACTCCCATTCCTCAGGTTCTGATTGGCTCATTCATACAATTAGCTGACGATAGAAAATGTAGCTTGCAACCATAACTAAAAGGACCTTATTTCAAAGTTCAGAAAAAAACTGTAATTACACAGATTTGATATTTTTATTCCAAAAATACTGTAATTAAAATTAACTTTTTCATATCCTTTTAGGCTAGCTAAATAAACCTCACGACCTAAAAACTTAATTTCAAATTCCTATCTCATGCTGCAACATGGTAAGAAAATCGGGATAAATAAAAACAGTAAAGTCTTTACTTTCCATAAATGATTCTATGAAAACTTGAAAAGAGAAAGAATTGAATATTGTATATTTATTCAATGGTAGAAGAAACAGCTAGTACATTTTTAATGTCAGATATGTAGCTATCTCATCATTCAATATGGGCTACACAAATAAATAAAGCTAAAAGAAATGCAGCAAAGATTAAAGAAATACACTCATTAGAAAACAGAACAATGATCAAAGTCATACTATTCATACAGAAGTCAGAGAGGCCATGGGCAGTAAAAGCCTGTAAGGACCGAAATGGAAACAGAAAAAGATAACAAATAAATGAATAGCACACTGAAACTAAAAGCAATGTGACCACTCTTAAATTCAGGGTTTGAAAGAGAAAGGGTCTTACTCACCTGAAAGAGGAACATACACAAGACACAGAGCTATGAAGAACGGAAGAGAACTTGGCTTCCATTTCCAACGACAGTTCCACATTTGATCTGAGTGAATCATCCTGCAATGGAAGAAAGCAACCATCAGGACATTCAGCATCCAGTAAGGCAGTAGGACAATAACAGTCAAAGTGCAGGTTTTCAGCAGAGATTGGAAAAAAGCAATCGTTATACAATAGGCGGTTTCCCAATGAAGGTGGGGAAATATTCAGATAATTCAAATTCATTAATCAAAAAATAAAGCATTTTCAGCTTCAACCTTCAGCATCACCAGTCACATGCCCATCTTACCCCAGAGGATTTTTATATCAACCTCTCCTATAATCTCCCAAAAATGTAGACTTCATGGAAATGCTTTCATTTTATGACATCTGCTGTGTTACAAATGGAAACAATTTAAAATAAAAATAAGGTGCCCAATTGCCTTCTTTCCCTTAAAATTAAGCAACGAAGGGGAGCCTGAATGGCTTAGTTGCTTAGGTGTCCGACTTTGGCTCAGGTCATGATCTCACGATTCGTGAATTCAAGCCCCACACCGGGCTCTGTGCTGACAGCTCAGAGCCTGGAGCCTGCTACAGATTCTGTGTCTCCCACTCTCTCTGCCCCTCCCTGGCTGGCTCTCTCTCTCTCTCTCTCTCTCTCTCTCTCAAAGATAAATAAACATTAAAAAATTATTTTAAATTAAGCAATGAAGCATTAACATCCAAAAAGAATAACTACTTTGTACATGATAGCTATCAATGTTTTCAAGTGGCTACCAAACACCAAGTATTATAGAAACTACAATTAACTCTACAGTGGTCTCGTCTTTAAACTCAAAATTGCACCTACCAATAATTTAGACAGGAGCATCCATATTATCTTGGCTTAAAACAGTGGTATGAAACCTTTCATTGACTCAGCTCCATCAAAAGAGACAAGTCAGTGAATGGGGCAGCAAGCCACCATAAGGGCCCACAAAAGGACTGGTTAGCAAGAGAGCCATGAAGCAGGAAAATGGTTACGTAGCAGTAAAACAAAAACAATAACAAAAACAAAAACTCCTGATCTTAAAAGTCTCTAAAGGGAGTTTCCATGGTTCCAGGTGACAGTTGAGAATCTTTTTTTTATTTCTAAAAAGAGAAACAACTAATCAGATACTTTAGGATCACAGTAATACCTTCTTTACCTGAAGGTTGCTTATCTGGAGTAAAACACGTCATACTAATCACAAAACCAGATACGCAGGGAAGGAAATACTCAAAGGAGAAAAAAATAGACATCAAATGATTTCTGCACTTGCCTCAAGCCTCGTTCCCAGTCCATCCTTTACTGTTAGAGACCACCTACATAGCAAGGCGAACAGGCTCCAGAGTGAGCTGGACCAGGGTTTGCTACTTGTAAACTATGCACCCCTTTGGAAATGTACTTGACCTTCCTGCACTTCCAACTTTCCACCTGTAAAACAGAAACTCCAATCCACAGAGCTGCTGGATGATGAAATCAGAGCATGTCTTTTGAGAACAGTGCCTGACACTTGCCTAGCAAGTGCTCAACAAATATTAGCTATTATTGTTACTACTACCCTGGGCATTCTAATGTAAGTATGGTTACTCTGTCCACAGTAAAATCAAAAGAAAAGCCTTAAACAAGAATGGACCATAGGATGTTTTAAACTAACACCAATCAATTGACTTTGTGACTACTTCTGGATCACCTGGGAACAGAAATGAAATGGATTACTCATGCCTGCCATTAATCCAGAAATTCTGAGCGGTACCTGATACTCATGCCATGTTTTTATATTCGCCCAATTAGAATTTCTAGCATCACTTGGTTCCTAATGGAAATTCTAAACCAGGTAAAGCTTAAGATCTGAGGAGTAGTTTTCTGTATGGAGGGTATGTTTTAAAATACATCCATCCAAAATACTTGAAATTTGAAGCAATGTTACTGCTTATGGGAAGCAATATGCCACAGTACATCATAATAATATAATAAGAACGGATGTAAGCTTTGGAATAGCACAGAGTTACAACCTGGTGCCTCAATTTATTGTGTGACTTTAGAGGCAAGTCCTTAAAATGCTGAGACTATTTTCTCTTCTGTGTATAGGATGTCATCCATCGAAAAGACAGAGTCACTACTGCATGGCACTTAGTAAGTGTTTTAAAAAGGGGAGATGATAAACTTCTATCACATGAAAGCCTCACTCGTTTGGAAGAATGGGTCCATTCATTTTGGATGAATGAGGTGTTTCCCATTCAGGTCATGGATGAATTAGCATGCTTCTAAAACAAACAAACAAACAAACACAATTATATATTCAAAGAAGTTTAGAGCTGGGAATATCAAAGATGAAGTCTAACCTTCACATCCCACAGAGGAGGAAACTGAGGCCCAGAAACATAAAGGGGCAGAGCAATCAAACCTGGCTACCGGCCCTACCATTTATATTTGAGAATATCAGCTCGAGAGAACTCCCAGCCTCTTAATCGCTACGGCACATGACAATTTTCCTTCGTCAATACTTGGAGAATGGTCTCCTCTCAAATTTATGTGCTCTCTAAAAAATCCTCAAGGAGGGTCTCCTGGGTGGCTCATTCGGTTAAGCATACAACTCTTGATTCCGGCTCTGGTCATGAACTCACAGTTCGTGAGTTCAAGCTCCACGTTGGGCTCCAAACTCAGAGTACGAAGCCTGCTTGGAGTTCTCTCTCCCTCTCTTTCTTCCCCTGCCTCTCTCATGCTCTCTCTCTCAAAATAAATATATAAACTTAAAAAAAAATCCTTAAGGAATCATCTTTGTTAGCTTGGCAACATTGAGTATTATTTCGTAACGCAACTTTCTTTTGCTATAACAGGTTCTTATTTAGGGATTCCGTAGTCAATCCTGAAGCTGTATCCTTTCAGACAACAGCTGCAAATAATGACCAAGGGCTTCATGCATTCTGGTTCCCAAGACTCCATCACTTCATATTGAAAAGGAACCCAGCACAAGGCAAGCACTCGTAACCAAAGTTAAACCTCATGACTGGTCAACTTTCATCCACTTGACTGTTTACTGAAGAACAGAAACAAACAAATTAAGAATAGAACAGAGGAAGGAAAGCACTATGTGTCTTCTCAGGGGATCACTTAGCAAAGACACATCCCTGAGATTTAAATAACTTTCTCACAAGAACGGAAAATCCAGATCAGGGTTACTAAGGTTCTAAATAGGAGCTACAAAAAAATATAATACAATCTTGTATTACTTGAGTCGTAGCCTCAAAGTTCTGTTGAAGAGACCAAGAACATTTTTAAGTAAAGGAGAGTCCTACATAGACTTCTGTCACCTGAAAACCATCTAAGCATGAAATTTAAATCCAAGCAATAAAACCTATCATTTCACAGGCAAGAAAAAAGAAAGTACAATACTAAACAACTTGCCCAAGATCACATAATCAGTGGTGCGAGAGCTAACACATCCCGATGCCACCTGGCTTCCAATTCACCTGTCCCTGAGAACCAAGACACGTCCATTGCAACCTTGCTCCACTTTTCAATCGGCACAGGCCACAACATACAATATGTTTGAGTCCTATTTCAGGAACTTTAGAACCTAACCCTGTTATTGAATTGTTGTTAATGTCAGAATGACCCCTTATGAACGTGACTCAATCCAAACGCATCACTGAAATAATCTGTAGTCTAGAAAACTGAACATCTTCCACCTTTTCACTCCTTAAAAGTCCAATTTAAGGAGAAATTGATGAAGAAAATTTAAAATCAGTGGAGAAATTGACACGGCACTAATTCTATCATTACTAGCAATAGTCAGAATTACAGATTATTCCTCAGATCCCAACTGTATTTCTATGTCAAATCTTTTCACAAAGGACCGCGAGGAGTGGCAAAGAAAGTACCTTAATTCTTCTAGAATGAAAAGAATAGAATTTGGTTCATTCAAGTCTAAGCAGAATTGTATTTCTCCTTTTGGTTAAAGATCATGTTCCTGATCTCAAGCAATGAACAAAAAGAAAAAGTGCTATTCTATCACTCAAGTTCTTTTATTAAGTTTGGCTCATCCCCATTTCAAAAAGGTAGAAAGGTTTATTCTTCAAATCTGCACAAATCTTGACTCTTATGTGAGCAGAAGCATCCACTGCACCATGGCTTGTACCCCGGGTGAAATTAAAAGGCAACCCTGAGAAACACACATAGACTCCATGTAAAACTAGGACTATCTGAAAAAAGGATAGCGTATCAATCTCCTGGTTGTGATACTATATTACAGTCTTGCAAAACATTACCACTGGGAGAAACTGGGTAAAAGGTACATAGGATCTCTACCATTTCATCCAGCTGCCTGTAAATCGACAAATATCTCAATAAAATGTTCAATTTAAAAAGTAAACCCTGAAGCCCTGGCATATATAACTTACTTTCAGATGATTCAGGCAAAATATTGTGGTGCATGTACGGAGAGGGGAGGGTGGAGGGAAGAGGAGAGGATGGACAATAAAACAAATGGGATAAACATTTATACTAAGTGATTCCACATTAAAGAATATACATGCGCTCTTTGTATTATTCTTGCAACTTTTATGAAGGTTTAAAATGCTTTATTTTTTTAAAATGTTGATTTATTTACTTCGAGAGAGAGAGGGAAAGAGGGAGCAAATGCACATGCCTGAGTGGGGGAGGGGCAGAGCGAGAGCGAGACAGAGAGAATCCCAAGCAGGTTCCACGCTGTCAGCAGAGAGCCTGATGCTGGGCTCGAACTCAAGAACCGTGAGACCATGACCTGAGTGGAAATCAAGAGTCGTAAGCTTAACCCACTGAGCCACCCAGGCATCCCAGTTTAAAATCATTTCCAAATATGTAAACACACCCACACACATTTACACTGAAGTGTATCCATGTTTATCTCATGACACTCCCATCAGTATGAGTGCCTTAGTCATTGCCAGTTTGGTAGAAGTAGCATCTCATTTGGGTTTCCTTTATTTGGACTGGCGTGTTCAAATTGTTTTTGTAGTTGTCAATCACAATAGGAATATTTTTCTTCCTAATTTGTGGTTTCTTTTTACAAATGCT